CATCTGCAGTGCAGTAGCTTAGTTCACAGGTATCAGTATATATAGTTAGTCAGGGTGAGAATCTTTCCAATTAACTGCTAGATTAAAAAATCTTCTGAATATTCTCAGGATCATTGTGCCACTAATATTTCTGAGAGTATTTCCTAAAGTAGAAACTCCCAGATTGATCAAAATTTTATGGCACTGACAATTTTATCCAACTTAGAAGCACGATTCCATAGCTTCTCTTCCCAACTCCCACATCACTGTCTCAAGTCCACACTGAGAATGCTGGTAGGCAAACATTAGCAACACGGGTCCAGCTCCTCACAGCAAATGCCTTGGCCTTCCACAGCTGACCAACTCAGGGAATGCCTTCATGAAAATATACTTTCAAATATACTCTTGGCATTTCTACTTCCAGTAAAGGTTGGGACCACAGGGACCAATTTACTCTACCACCCCAAACAACCAAAATGAGCATATAAAATATAAGGAACAACTGTTCCCAAGACAGCGACTACCATAAAGCAAAGAGCAGTGGTCCCTGGGAAGCAGAAACAAGAAGAGTACTATGACTTCTCCTGCTCTGAGAGTTTCTGCGCAGTAAGGATGAGGGAACCAGGGCAGGGCCAACAGCCAAACAAACACAGGTGGGCTACAGGTCACCAGTGAGAATTTCAGACAGAAAATACAGAGAAAGCTGCAGAGTTCTGTGAACTGCAAGTGCTCGGCAAAACAGTGACTGGCACTTGCAGGAGCATAAACCACCTAAGGCTGCTGCCGTGGTCCGAATGTGTTTCCCAAAGTCCATGCACTGTCAACTTAATCGCCAATGCACCAGTACTTCAAGCCTGGAACCCTAAGGTGAGCAGATCACTAGGTCATGCTGTCTTGTGCCTGGCTACCCTATGCAGTAAGACTGCACAGAGGCCTCTGCACAGCGTTCAACTTGCATGTTGGGCTTCCCAGCCTCCAGAACTGGGAGAAATAAATTTCCTCTCTTTACAAATTGCCCATTCTGTGGTATTCTTTTATACAGCAACACGAAACACAGTGCAGTAGCCTGGAAAGAAGCAGTGGAGAAGATTGGAGAAAGCAGACCTCAAACAGGCTCCAACAAGCTCACCAGTAGACTATAATAATCTGGAAAATGATCAGAAAAAATAAAAAAAATAAAATCATCCTGTGTTGTAAGGGTGGTTTTCTTCCTCTTCCGCCGTCGTCACTGCCATCCCCGCCGCGGCTCAATTCAGTCAGATCTGTCTGGGAGAATCCAGCGACATCTACCACCATGGTGAACTTCACTGTAGACCAGATCCGGGCCATCATGGACAAGAAGGCCAACATCCGCAACATGTCTGTCATCGCCCACGTGGACCACGGCAAGTCCACGCTGACAGACTCCTTGGTGTGCAAAGCCGGCAC